CTTCCTAACTCCATGAGAAATTATAATTGCATAACCTTCAAAATGCCACGGAAGAATTATTGGGATGTAATTTGTTTTTCAAGGTGGCTAAGAGTTATTTATGATTAGAGATTTCTTGACCTTGACTTCAGTGATAATATTTGCCTCTTTCTTCACTTCCAAATCACTGTTCCTCATAGCTTGCTCTTTAGGTCCAGCTATGACAATGTATTTCTGTGTAAGTCCAATGAAAACTTGTTTGTTTCTTTTAAGAATTAAAATAATAATAAAAATCCCCCTCATTCTGCCCTGCTTTACCTGTTTCAGGGCAGAAGCCTGCTGGTGCTGTCTTTATAAAACTAGTTTATCTGTGTTTTACAGGGAGGGGAACGGTAACAAAAGGAGCATAAAAAAAGTATTACTCCTGTGACTCGTAGGGGTTGTGGCAGCTTCAGACTTTATCTAGACATGTGTAATGGCCATCAGGATTGAAAGGAACTTTTTGGTGACTTACTTATACATCATTAAGTCAGACTGCAATTAGCTCTGTTGACGGAGCTAACCCTTCACCGAGCAGGGTTAGTATGCTCATGTAAAACTCTCCCTGCACATGACTTTGCATAACCATGTTCATTAGGACTAAAGCAGGTAAAGATGATTTCCCTTTCCTAAGTTATATGGGGTGAGCAGAGAATGTGAAATAAAGATATAATTGCTAGTAAATTTTCAAAGCAACCCAAATGGGAGTGGGTAAAGTTGTTTGCAGTGTGCTTAGGGTTAATACAGCTGTATCAGCTCCGAGCCCACCGCCTGTGCTGTGATCAGGGCTCCCTGCTATTGGCTGAGAGCAGGGGAGGGAGGCAAAGGAAGAAAATCCAGAGCTTAATTTAGGCAGTGACGAGTGGGTTGCTGTGCAGGATGTTTCACTCCTGGATGTCTGGGGTGATACAGACGCTAAAAAGGGAAATGTATTTTCTCATCACATCTTTACAAGCAAGGTGTCATGGATGGCAGCTCACCCTGGCCTACATCTTTTAGTGAGGCTGCTTAAGGTCCTTGGTGAGTGGAGGTCTTAATCATGTATAATATCATAGTGCCGTGCTACTTTCCCTTGTCCTGTCCCCCCACTTTTCGATGCTTTTGGGCTGGCTGACTCCACATCACAGCTCTTTTTTCCAGGCGTTGGCATTTGCTTTTGTATCTGGACACATCAAATATGACACCCTTCTGGGCTATTTTATTCCCGAGCTGGAGCTTAAATATGTTAGGATATATCTTCAGATTGAGCAGGCCTAGCCAGAGTATGTGAAAGATACAACAGGTATGTTTAAGCATCTCTGGCAGGGAATTGTGTAAGAAGCTTTCGCTTGGCTAAAAAATGATGCTGTCAGCTAATGCTGTTATGAGAGAGAGTGAATTCGATTTTTATACACAATGTCTGAGCAAGTGGACATTGCTTGTGGAGGCTGCAGCTGCTGGCGTCACAGGCAGCCCAGGGAGGCTACATCATGATTTGGGTAACTGTATGTCCAGTGCTTTCAGATACAATCTTTTTTTCCCCACTTAGGATGGATTTTGGGGGAATACATTGTTTTCCTGACATTCCTGGATAACCTTCTAATGATCAGGTCCTTATTGAAGTCATACTGCAGTGCTTTTATTGAGAAATGGCTGTCATATAGCTGAAGATTCTGGGCATGGACACAATACATATGAACATGTGTTACTTCCCATTTCTTAGGAGAATCAGTGGAATGTCTAGTCTTAAGTCTTCCTTCAGCTCAAACGTAATTCCACATTGTGTTTTTTGTAGTATACTTTTCTTTAGATCATAAGTGCATATAGGAACTGTACTGCTCACTCTGCATTTAGCCAGTACACTGCACTTTCCTCCTCCTCCTCCTCTTTGTTATACTGGCACAGCTGAATGTGTGGATGTCCACGGAATGGGAGTAGGGAAGAATCTGGGTTATATGACAAAAAGAAAGCACAAGAAGGCTCAAGATCAAGGGGTGCAGTCTGTTAGACTCAGGTATGGAGCCAGAGAGAACCATGGTGGGAACCATTGCACAAAATTTTGGGAAGGTTTTTCAGATTTTTTAGTGCAAGTCTGCTCTGGCATATGGTTGTGGACCGCTAGTCTTACCTCATGGCCCTTTTATTTGCAGCATGTGCTGGTTATAGGTTAGGCTGATGTAGATTGTGCTTAGTGTGATACTGAGATCCTGCCTGCATATGCTGTGTGCTGATGACATTCAGCTAAAGGCTTTGATGTGCCTCATGCAGGCTTGAGATCATAAATGACTTTTATTTGTAGAATTTGGATGAACAAATGGTCTTTTCTTAGCCCAGCCCAGCCCTATTTGCTTTTGGTTTTAGGAAATAATGATAATTGCTAGCTTTTCTTGTATATACCCAACTGTTTTGCCAGAGTTAAAATCAGGTTTAGTTAAAAGCCATCTCAGCCTAATAAGGCAGTACTGGGCTATTAGTTTACTTTGATTCTAGACATTCAGCATACCAGTGATATTAGCAGAATGGAAATAATGATGTCAATTTACTGTTGCAAAACACTTCAAGGAACCCAGAAAGAGTAAGTAAATGTTATTGTTGCTATAGAATAATAAAAGCATGTTATCAAGCCCTTGTATCACACATGAGCACAAGAGTAAGTGCAGCAACACCACCTTTGGCTTACAAGAAGCAATTAAACAGGTAGAAATACTTCATGGATCCCTACTTTCTCCATGTAACTGGTTTTGGCACCAATAAAGATATTGGACTAGGAAGACCTTTTGTGTAAGGCAATTTTTCTATTCTGACTATTTCAGAAATTCAGTTAGTAGCAAAACTAAGTTCTTTAAAAATCTCTTCCTCGGTTCTGTATTGGAGAAATTCCAGCTTCACAGAAGCTTCTTGGATAAAGCTGAAAAAAGCATGGAAAATACAGCAGATTTTTTTGAGGGATTAATGTAACAGGGAATGTATCACAGTTTGGCAGGACCGCAGGCCAGGAATGTGGAAGCTGGCACACAAGGGAGAAGCAGTAGTGCTAGGAAGCTGAGAGACGGGTGCTGTTTAAAGCTGCAGTTCAGCACCTACTGAGACTGGAGGAAAGATCCCATTTGTTGTCACAATTGGAAGGCAAATTCCATGGTTTCAGATTCAGCATAAGAAATTGCAGCCTGGAGATGATGTAGTATCCTCCCAAAACCAAAGGCAAGATCAGCGTATCAAAGCCATGCTGACAGATGTTTGCTTGTCCCCTCCTCAGCTGCATGCTGGAAATTCCAGAGCCTCCCTCCGTGACCTGTTCCAGCCTTTGCTATCGTTATGGAGTGGCATGGAGCCTTGAGCTGGCATGGAAGAGCAGAGGGATCCATTACATGCTGTCAGTCCTTGTCATTTCATTATTTCAGTTTGTAACATTTGTCCTCTAGAGCAAAGTCCTGGTATTAGGACATCTCAGGGTTGCTTTTCAAGTCCAAGTCTGTGACTAGCAACAGTCTGTGACTAGCATTTTAACACAAGATACCATGGTGCTTAGTCCCTTTTTTAAAGGGATTTGAGGAGAAGGACGTTGACAGAAAGAGGGATGTGCTGCAGATGGTGACCTTTTTTTTTATATTTGGGGCTCTCTTGGCCCCTTATCCAGCAAACAAAAGTCAGTTCCTTTAGTGACAAAAGGAGTGACTCTTCTCTCATTATCAGTTGTGATAATAAACTTGGACTCTCTTTTGCAAGGTGTGGTGTTGCCTGGGCTGTGAACCCCTGAGGAGATGAAGGTTTTCAGGCTATACCTGTTCAGTCAGCTTAGGCAGTGCAGCCAGGATGGTCTTTTCCCTGGTGTCTGGGCTTTAACTGCTCAGATTGCTCTGTTCCTGTTGGTCTTGGTTTGTTGCTATTTTTTGATATTTGAGGCGTGTGGAGAGGATGTTACAATCACCAAAGGAACACTGAGTTTGGGGATAATAAAATATGGAAAATCCTGTGTTCCAGGCTGTCTCCTCTGTGGCTTCCATGTGTGCCTTAGCTGATGGGCATTCCCTTTCTGCTTCACTGGTCTTCCAGGCCTTCCTTCCCTCAGTCCCTCTGTCCCCTGAGGCTGGGCACAGAAGCTGTCACACAGTCCTTGCAGTTCAGTACTGTCTGCCACATCAGCCTCTTCAGATCTTACCATGTGCTAGATTACCTCTTACGAGGAAATCTCTTTGAATGGAGAGTAGTGGGAGCCTGGGGCTGAGCCAAAGATTTCTGATGTTACATAAGTCATTGTGGCATCCTCTGGGACAGAGGGCATTCAATGCTCCTGGCTTCAGGTTCGCGTTCTGCCATCAGAGTCTTTCAGAATCACAGTGAAAAGTGAGTGTTGACTACCAAGGTAGTACCAAGATCCCTGAGCGAGACACCATGAGAACAGGTTTCCCACACCTGCAGGCGGAAGACAATATGCCCTGCCATGCCGCCTTCACTACTGTCATACTGCTGTCACCCTTGCCTTGGGCCCTCCTGAAAAAGGTCTTTGCCCCTGGTCCCGGCTGAGATGTGCCACCGCCCCTGAGCTGGGTGGACACATTGGGCTTTGCTGCCACCCAACGGGGAAGCGCAGCAATCCTGATGGTGCTCACTCAGGCCTCCTTTTTAGCTTCACGTAGGCGGTTTCGATCTTGCTAAAAGCAAAATAAGAAATGACGCTGATGCTTTAGAAGACAGGAACTTTTTGCAGTGATGATTTTTGGAGCTCATTCCTAACGAAGTCTGAAGTTTGTACAGAGCTTTCCTGGCAGTCTTTGAATCATAAACAGCATGAAAAACAGAAGAGGTACTTTCCCTCTTCTACTGAGTATGTCTATAATGACGAAGATTGAATCTTTGTGCAGGACCTGGGAAGCGTGTGAGGAAAGGAAGACGTACCTTTGTATTGCTGTGTAATTCTCCCCTTTGGTTATCGAGTGTTGCATCAATGGGTGGGTGGTTAATGAGGTAACTGACAACAAATGCATTTCTTTGTTTATTTGCAGATTGTGCTGGCTGTGGAAGAGACATAAAAAATGGACAAGCATTGCTAGCTCTGGATAAGCAGTGGCACCTGGGGTGCTTTAAGTGCAAGGCCTGCGGGAAGGTTCTAACTGGGGAATACATCAGCAAGTAAGTAACCTCTGCATCTTTCTGCACACTTAGCATGAGTTCTTGTTGCCAGTGGAGATGAGCTTGCAGTGAAGTTCACCTTTCGAAATCCAGTTTTGACCACCTTTCCGTATACACCAAAATCTTTGTTCCCAGTGAGAGCTGAGTTGGGAAAGGAAAGTAAACTGAAAAGTGCAACTGAAAGGTGGTGTTTAATGATAGCAGTCTATATTTAATACCAACACGGAAAGAGTTGTATCTCCATGTTCCACAAAAGATTAAGTGAATTCTTGCATGTGTTTTCCGTGTTAGTCAGATTTTGCTTTCCAATATGTGATTTTGGGGGAAAAAAGTAGGAACCTGTCCATTGTTTGCCTTTGCTAGAGAATAGAGTAAATGTGATTATGTGATTGACCTGACACTGTGTTTCTCATCTCCATATAAGAAACTAATGAAGAGAGTTTTGAGCGGAAGGAAGTGTAGAGGAAGAGAATAGGGAAAAGTGGTGTAATGATAAAATAGAGGGAATGAAGATACAGTCTCTGTTCCCCCCTTCAAGCATATAACAAAGAGAAAAAATAGGGAAACAATGTATGTTTCACAAACCTGTCATTAAGGGGTGTATAATATTTAATAAAAAGTAGCATCTGTAATTCCTCAAAAGAAGTTCAGTACCCAAGAAATACTCCTAAGCTGAATAGTGCTTCCACTTTACTGTATGTTCCTTGTTCATACTAAAAAACTACATAACCTTACACTTAAAAGTAACTGCTTATACACTTGCAGACTACAAAAGATTTTTTTGCTGAAGTGAACAAAAAACACCTGCCTATGATTAAGACTGTGATCTCCTCTCCACTGATAGCTCCACTGATTTCCTAGAATTGCACCACCTCTAGGTGTAGAGAATCTGTTCTAAAGAATGCGATTTACTTCAGTGGTTTGTACTCAATGCCTTTTCTTAATGGGAATTTAAGGAATAATTCTAAGAGGCACTAATGAGAATATGATTTTTTTTCTTCTACTACAAAATATTTCCCTTGAATTCTCTACCATTTGCCTATTGCTGTGTGTAGGAGTTCCAGGCTGAAGACAAGGGAGGAGTGTAAGTCATGCTGTAAACTGTTTATTAAAAGGTGGCTTGTAATTTGTGGATTTTCTTTTTCAGAGATGGTGCTCCTTATTGTGAAAAGGATTATCAAGTTCTTTTTGGAGTCAAATGTGAAGCATGTCACCAGTTCATTACTGGGAAAGTCCTAGAGGTAGGTGTTTTGTAAACGAGAGTTTAAGAATTGGGCCATGTCCTCATGCAGAGAATACAAAAATTCTCATAGGAAAGTTTTTTCTGCTGATTTTAGAGCAAAGTTGCTAATTTTCGGAAATATTTTCAGTGTTTTAGCTTTGCAGTCATCAGGAAAAGTATGTGATAGGGAATTAATTGCGCTAGTTTCTATGGATCTGTGGTTTCTATGTTTCTCTTTTAATGATAATATGCAAAGTCTTTTGCATTGCTTATTCTGTGTCAGATTTGATATATTTATAGGGGTAATTTGAGTATTTGAGTATCGGAATCACCTTTGGCAACCAGAAGTTTGGCATGAGATTTCTCTTCTCAAATGAGGCCAGATGATCTGAATGATGCTGAGCAAGGTGAGAGGGAGAAATTTGAGAGGTAAATTATATATTCAGAAATGAGAAGGCAGAAGACATCTGAACCATCTCTTTTATTGGAGTCCTCAACATTCTCATTGAAACTGGCCAAATCTTTGTAGAGATGCGTATCTTTTGTTGTCAATACTGATCTCCATCTCCCATGGCTGTGATGAGTCCCCTTTGAACTGGAGTCCTTGAATTATGCGTGGATCTCTCTGTGTCATCATTTAAATGTTTAAGGGGCAAAAATGCAGAGGACCTTCCTTGTCACACTGTCATTGAGATATGAGAAGCAAAACTGTTTTCTCCTTTCCCTGCAGGAAACTCCGTTCAATGGAAAGAACCTAAGTTTTGAGCTCAGGTCTGGAGCTGGGCTGTATGGCTTGACTCCAGCTTTAGTGATTTTTAATAGTCCACTTTTCCTGGAAAAAAATCCTTTATATAATAAAGTTTGTGGAAGAAATGGGGAACAATGAAGAACTTCAGTTTCAGGTGTATTTTGTGAAAAAGAAACTGGATGTACTTTATGTTTTACAATGAATAACTAAACCTGAAAGTGTTACAGAAATAAAAGCAGCTGGAATTCGCTACTGAATGTATATTACAGGTTCTCTTCTTTGTGTCCCATTTACTACAGATATAAGACTGTGTCAGCCCTCATATGAGAAGTTTCAGGTTTGACTTAAAGTGGTAACAGCCTGTGGTTTTAGTTCTGGAGGTTTTTCTCTGGTTCAGTATTCAGAGTATTAACCAGGGTGGTAGCCACCAAATGAGGGACTCGGAATGCGTGTGGACATCCGGTGCATTTCTCACTGTGTCTACTGGAAGGAAGTACAATTTTTTAATTATCCTGGCTCTTAGTCTGCCTCCTTTGCAATGTGTATCTAATTCCTTTGGAGAACCACATAGATAATTAGTGAGAACAGTCTGAGTTTTCCCTTGAGTAGGAAAGGCTGTGTCTGTGGCTTTAATCTAGTGGTCTGCTACCATCTGCTTATCTATTCCTGTCTACTGATGAGTGTTTCAGTTTAGTACTATGTATTGGTGACACCATAGTTGCATTCCAGTGCAGGAAGCACTGCAGGAGAGAATTGGATTTGTGAAGCATAAAATAATTCTAAAATTATTTTAGATGCACATGATAGGTGCTCTAACCTACAAGCAATGCAACCTATTCAGAGGCATGGAGATGAAAATGATAAAAGAGAAGGTTATTGCAGCCTGTGGAGAGCTGGAAAGAAACAAGCTATTCCTATTTGGAGCCTTTTGTGTAGTGGATGTGACTATAGTAAGGTTGCACTCATGTTATTCTTCCTCGCATCAGTGAGAAAGAAACCCAGCTTTTTGAGACGATCATGAGCTGTATCCTTTCAAAACGGAATAAGTTGAGACTAAGGAAAGATTAGTTCAATTGAACTAGGACTTAGCGGTCCATCATAATCTAAGCTAAAGTTCAGGTTATCAGAGACATTGTGTTCCAAGCAGAACCTTGATGCAGTCATTTTGGTCCCCAGGTTGGTTTCTCGCTCCATAGTTCTTACTCTTCTGATGGCTATTTATTATCAGAAGAAGAGACAACATTTTGCTGAAGCAATGAAACATGGCCAACCTCTTGCAAGGATCCACCTCTTCTAAGAGTCAAAATCAGATAAAAAAAGATAAAGATTTTTCCATTTTACCTAGCTCCTGCAGAATCAGAATAATGCTAATAAATTAGAAACAGACCCTTTGAATGATCTGATCAATACATGAAAATATTAAGCATGCTAAGTTCTGGGTAAGACTAGAAATTTTGCTTGAATATTTCTGGCTCTCATTGATTATCGGAGGCACAACCCATAATAATACAGTAGAGGGCAGCAGTAGTTCTCAATATGTAAGTAAGATCAAACTCCTCTAAAGCCTGTAGAATTATACATATAGTGCAACTCTTTCCTGATCTGTTTAAATGACATTTGAAGGCTGACTGCTATCTGAAAGGTGTAGATTGGACAAGTCCTTAAAAACTTTCACCAAAAAAATTAGTACTGTGTAGTCAGGGCGGCCATTCAGACATTGGCTTAACTGTATTACAGTATGTATTAACAGCCTGGGTAGTCCATGAATAGAGTTCTCCAGGTATCACCTGTGAATGCAGATGCAGGAGAGACATTCAAGCACTTTCTGTCATTAGATGGTGCTTGAAAAGACTAGAAGATACAGGTAAGCAGCTAACGTTCAATAATCAGAGAAATTTGTCAGAACCGTGGGCTAGTTTCTTGGCTCATCCTAGAAACCTTTTACACTGTCAGAGATGCAAAGTTCCAAAGGGGCAGTACTAATGCCTTTAAATTAGACTAAAGAAACCAGTAAGTCAAAACTTAGGCTGAGAAAATAATGTGTCAGCACGTGTGTCCCCTTTGGGCAGAGAAGGTAGTCTAAAGGATGGGTTCAGAGCATGACATAAATCTCTGGTAACAACAGAGATGAGAGATCGGAAGCAGTCACAGGGCCATGGAAGATAATTCACAGAACAGGATGCCAGAGTTCGGTGAGGGCTGCAGACCTTTTTGAGGCAGGACAATTAACAATCTCCTTATCTAGTACAGGAAATCACCCACAACCTTTCAGTACACCTGAAGTTTTAATTTAGATGACGCATGAGATTCTCACAGGAGGATTACTGTCTTCCCTGTTTGTTTTCTTTGGCAACGTTTCTTTGGCAAATTTGGGTATTTTTGATGTTTTGTATTATGTGGGTTGTCTCTTGTCCTGCTGCCTCTCTTGGGAAGGAAACCACATTCTTGGTGTGATGTAGCACAGTTATAGGAACTGTCTAGGTAGCAGTTATGGCATCACTGACCACCCCAAGTTATACCTACTAACGTCCGTTGGGAAAAAAACCAAAACACTTTGTGTTGTGCCTTTGTTAGGAAAAATGGTTGTAGTAAATTCACTGATCAGTATCTTTCATTTTATTTGTCAATAAAATAATTTGTTATGTCAGGAGCAGAGTATACTATTTCATCATCTTCATCCAAAGAAATAATCAGAAGTGATTGGAGGGAAGTATATAGTACATTGTATACAAACACTTCCCTCTAATGGCTCAGAAGTGATTAGTAGCATGCCACTGTAGTGCTGCTTTATTTTCTGCTTATTACATCTGGAGCTGCTTATTTCTTCTATAGAAAAACTGAAGGGAAATGAAAGCATGAAACTCAGCTTTGGGTTCACAGAGGCTGGTAGTAGCTATTTTTCCAGTCAGAGATTAATTTTTTTTTTTATTTAAAGAGAAATTGAGATTCTTTGCAACATTGCAGGCTTGCAGCTCCTGCTCATTTTTGTACCTCAGTATGGCTTAGCACCTCTGAAGAATTAGGCTTTCAGTCTTCTACAATGAGCAGCCAGCAAGAGAGACAACCACTCCTGTTGTGGTCTTCATGTCAGCAGCAGCTATGCTGTGCCCCTGGTAGGCACCCTCAGCAAAGCATGTCAGAAAGGCCAAGGTGTGAGTTCAAACACTGAGATTCAAGCCTTGAGAGGATGGACTCCCTCCAGCCATTCTGTAGAGGTGATCCCTCCGCTCAGTTAAGAAATGCATTACTAGAAAAACTTATTTTGCTAATACCCACATACCATGGAAGAATGCTCTTTTTTTTAGGCCGTAGATCTAACAACTTTCAGTAGTCATGAAAATATGCGAGAAAAATACTGTGTGCATTTAAGTCAGCTCAGATATTTCTCGTGTATTATTTGGCACATAACTTTCTGTGACAAATAGTCACAGATGATAGATGAGTGCGTGCCAACACAATAAATGTGATAAGTATCCAATACGAAATAGATATTGCAACTTTCTTGAGCATGCCGGATACTTTAATACTTGAGTATTTCAGGATAATGTTGCAAGGCAACAGAGATCAGTGTTCTCTTCCTTGGGTTTCTGCAGCAGAAAGGAATCTTTATTTATGAAAAATTACTCCCATTAACTCTGGTGAAAAACATTTTTATCGGGCAATAATGGCATCATGAGAGTGAGGACTTTCACATGGACTTTCCACTAAGCTGTTGTTTTCATAGCTTCACGGCTTGCCTATTGAAAGATGCCCATCTGATCCTATTCCTGCAAATTTCTGTGTAGACATGTGTAACTCCACAAATCTAAGTAAACTTCAGCACATATTTAGCTATTTGAAAGATGCTGGCCTAAATAATTTTTGTCTAATGTGGTTATCATACACAATGTAATTATTCCTCCAGGGCTTAATTCAAAATATGTTAAATCAGTGAGACTTCAGAGAATGGTGAATCATGCCTATATCCATGTAATTCATCTCTGCTCATCCAAAGTGTTTTACAAAACTTCTTAGTAGTATTCTTTTAGTTCTGCAGAGTGAAGACATCAGGGCAGAAACAGGTGGATAATTTGCATGAAATCATATAGAAAGCCTTAGAATAAGATTGAGGTCTTACGATTTTCACTTCTTTTGCCTGTTACTGATATGAACAGGATTTGATCTCATGATCTAGAGATCGATATATATATATCTACTATCAAATCCCTCAACCATCTTGCTACTCTACCTATTTATTTTTATAATACTACTTGCTTAATATTCATTTGCAA